GGAAGACTGCGCACCATCGAGCTGCGCAGATACCCGCAAACAGTAATCAAAATGAACAAGGGCTTATAGTCGAGCTTATCGTCCGTAAACAGTGACAGACCTAGATAGATGAAGATGAAGTTCTCCGACAGCTGCGACGTAACCTGGAACACAAACTTTGTTGTGAGTTGGGTCCGTCGAGACATGTTGTGGTACGCATAATGCTTCATGCATATACCACAGAACAGCAACGAGACAATGCCTATTGGCCAATTAGCGCGTCACATATGTATCCTTGGCGCAGCTACTTACCGGACATGTGGATAGCGTTGGACATGAAGTAGGTCAAGTATGCAGTCAAGATGATCAGACAGCTCTCCGTCTTAGGAATGCGTCTCACATAGGTGAACTTGAGCATCAACGAGACAGCAATTCCCACTGCAACACCAATGAACAAGCTCCCAAAGAAGACACCAAAGAAGATACCAAAGGCTTCGAAAAGACTGACAATGCCAAGTGTTTCTGCGCTGTCTTTGTACCTCTGAGCGGTCTCGAACAAGACGATAGCAACTGCGTCATTTAGAATGGACTCGCCAAAGATCAGAGTGTACAGCTTGGGCTCCACTTTGTAGGTGTTGAAGATGGCAAGGATGGTCACGGGATCCGTGGCCGATAGGGTGGCGCCAACAGACATGGCTTCGACGAAATTGATCTTGAAGCCATCGAGAGGAATTCTGGTCCATAGGAAGAGAATGAGGCCTAGAACCAGAGCCGAGATGAAGGTGCCAGCGAAGGCAAAGGTAAGGATAGTCCCAATGTGTCGAAAGAAGTTCCCCTAGACCCAAGTTAGGTTTGCAGCCGCCTAACGAGGTTGGTTCCCACTGACTTGATGCAGTTCGTAGCCTGCGGAAAGAATGATTGGAGGGAGTAAGAGGTTGAAGAACATCTGATAGTCAAAGCTGACTACATCTCGGACAGATGCCACAGCGGTGAGCCGTAGTATGAGGCCAACGACCATACCTGAAGGGTTTTAGCATAGACTCATAGCGCGAATCCATTACGAGATGATGCAGCCTCGAGGCTACTGTCATCTAGCCTTGCCAAGCCGCATGCAGCATTCCGTGAAGTCGTGAAGATAGTGAAGGGAACGTTGCCCAAATGGACGTACCAGCGAAAATGGATCAGGCCGGCCTCTTTGACAACTCTGGATTTTTGGGCGTGTGCGGGCTGTTGCTCCGTGAAGAGGGTTTTTATGAGCAGGAGTGATGAGGATGGCCAGGGCCCATGTTGTGATTATCTTCTTTTTGCTCCGCCTCGGGTTCGGTCTGTGTCGGGGCATTAGAGATGGGATGGAATAGCATGGCTAGAGAAGGCGGGTGAGGGACTCGTGGGACTGACCATCGGGGTCTGCATCGACTGCGTCTCGCCCTACCAGAAGAAGGTACAGTCAGTATTGGGGTCGCCTGGTGGGGGACAATGTGCGGCGGGAGGGAGCGAAGGAGGGGAGGGGAGGGGAGGGGAGGGGGGGGGAGGGGGGTGAAGGTGTGAGGGCGCATACTGAGCAGTTCGGTAATGGCCCAGCCAACTGTCGACGCCATACTGGAGTCAGGGTCTTGCTTTCATCAGCAGCAGCGCGAAGTCGTCGACTGCAGCGGCAGGATGTTGCATGTGCCGGGGAGGGTCGAGGTGGTGGTGAAAGGTGGCTGTTATTGTGTTCGGTGCGACCGAAGGGGCAGGGTAAGGCAACGTTGCGAGGCGCCACTGCTGTGTACAAGGGCGCGCCGGGATGGAATATTCACTACCAGCAACGGTGACGGCGACGAGTGACTACTACTACGACGACGACGACGACGACAGGCAAGAAAAAAGTGGCTTGCTTCAGGAATCAGGCGACGACAGGCGAACGGGTAAGGTGATGGGAATGTCTCAACATCCACATGTCCTTTTGAGGCTGACCTGCCTTCCTTGCCTCTTCTCCATTTTGCTTGTAGAGTAGGTACCGGTACCTACTAGACGTTCCCCCCATGAACCATGAACGAGTTCCTAGTACGCGTCGCATCCCCCGGAGCACGGAGGCGGCGATGCTGTATGTGGGTAAGTGTACATATGATAGGCCCTACTGGCTTCTGGGGCACAATACTACTACTTACTATACCCTACAACCGTATATGTGTTGTGCCCATTGTGCCAGGACACACTCTACCGATGCCTGGGTACTACAACAATGGGCGTGCGAGCGTGCCCAAGATGCCAAGGCGCTAGACGTGTTGGACCGGGGGTATGTGGGAACGGCTGATGGACGCACGCTGAGACGTCATAGCTCGAACTGCTACTACGCCCGCCATGACATGCACGCACAATCCTCTGCAGGACCTGTGTTGTAACCACTCTTACTCCTAGTAGCCATCATCTAGCCTGGTTGCACCCGATTTCTCTGCTCCTCGGAACGGGCTCGCGAGAATAGACACACACACACACTCTCTCTCTCTTACTCACACACCTGACCTAGCCATCATCACTTACCTAGCACACCGCTCCTACTGAAAAGCCTAACATATACACCAACACCCTCCCCCCTCCCCCCGCAGCCCTGTCCTCATCTAACCTCTCCATCCTGCTGCTGCCCCTCGTCCTCGTCCTCGTCCTCGTCCTCGCTTGTTCACCCCACTGGTTTCTCTGTCTACTGAGTGCTGAGTGCTGAGTGAGTGTGAGCGCGAGCATACTGTATAACCCTATTCTTAGGCCTAGGACATCGATCGCCGTAGTGACTGACACTCCGTCGACTTGTCCCCTCCCCCCCCCCCCTCCTCTCCTCCTCACTAGCGGTCGACCAAGTTTCGAATCTCGTGACAGCATGCCTTTCTACCACTGCGCCACTTGAATGATTCATCGGTATCAGGAAAATAGGACTTTGTTCTTCGCTCTGCCTGCCTCCCACTGCAAAAGTCGGCTTTCTTCCGTCGACCACTCAGACGCAGCGTCGTGCCTTCCAATCACAACCTCTTGGGCCCTTTACGTTCGGTAAGCCGCCCCCCCCTCCCCCACCAGGAAGTCCCCTCCCACTGGCCTCCCAGGGTGGTCCACGTTGCCTGCGCAAAGACCCTACACAGTGAGCACAAACTCTCGCAGCGGCTGCCAGCATGTCTGCCCCACGGCTCGATAGAGCGGGCTCGTCCTCTCCTCCATCAGCACCATCAGCACCATCATCCCCGCCTGCTTCGCCTCGCCCACCGAAGCTTGATACATCAACAACACCACGACCACGCCCTCGACCAAAACTCGTCTCTTTTGGTCGTGACTCGCTACTAGGCGGACGGCCCGACACCGAGGGACCCACACATGTGCAGTTCATACACGAGCGATCGCCAGACATCATACCCACTCGCATGTCTTCCGAGGTCGACCCACTGCTGAAAGAGGTGCTCTCGCCTATCGGCAGCGACGATGACTGGCAAGGCGAACAGCAGGTCGAGGAGACCAAGAGCAGTTGGTTTTTGTTTCTGCTCACCTTTGGCGGACTTGGTCTATCGATAGGATGGTCAGTAGAGACTTCCAACGGTTCGGTAAGTCTATCCTGGTACTCTGCACTCGACATGGGAAGCCGCACAACGTCTACCACGAGCCTTGCATGTACTGGCCACACATTGGCTCTCAGACCCCTGCTTGTGCCTCTCAAAGGCCGATCGGAGCGTACGACATCTCTCACGACTTCGATCAAGACGTTGTTGCATCGCGCAGTCACACATGGACCGAGGAGGCAAGATGCCAAGTGGCTAACGACATCTACAGCCCTATCTACTCTCTCTCGGCTTGAGCAAGTCTATGCTCGCTCTCGTCTGGATTGCTGGCCCACTATCAGGCGTCCTTGTACAGCCCTATGTCGGTCTGAAGAGTGATAATTGCCGCCTACGATGGGGCAAGAGGCGACCCTTCGTCCTCGGGGGCGCAGCAGCCACCATAGTTTCCCTCATGGTACTCGCCTGGGCGAGAGAGCTCATGGGAGGCTTTCTGAGCCTCTTTGGAGCTGACCCAGAGGGACAATTTGTCAAGACTTCCGTCATGCTCTTCGCCGTCTTGTTCGTATACGTGCTGGATTTCGCTATCAACGTCAGTACGTACAGGAATATTTGCCCCATGTTCGACCACGCTTGCTAAATTGTCCTAGTCCAAGCTGGTGTGCGAGCCTACATCGTGGACGTGGCCCCTACTCACCAACAAGAGTCCGCCAATGCCTGGCTGATGCGATCATCCGGTATTGGCAACATTCTCGGCTACCTAGCCGGCTATGTCAAGCTTCCAGAGTATCTGCCATGGCTCGGTGGCACCCAATTCAAAGTGCTCTGTGCTATTGCATCTTTCATCATGGCCCTTACCGTCGGTATCAGCTGTGCCTCCTGCGCAGAACGCGACCCCCAATTTGACACTGCGCCCGCGGATCAGCAAGACGGCGTCGTTGCTTTCTTCAAAGGACTTGCGCGTTCCGTCGTCAAACTTCCGGCCCAGATCAAACGTGTCTGCGAAGTCCAATTCTTTGCTTGGATTGGCTGGTTCCCGTTTCTGTTCTACATCACTACCTACGTTGGCGAGATCTATGCTGATCCTTTCTTCGAGGAGAACCCACACATGACTGACGAACAGATTGATCGAGTCTGGGAAGACGCCACAAGAATCGGTACAAGAGCTCTTCTTCTCTTTGCCGTTACTACCTTCCTCGCTTCCGTATTCTTACCCTTCGTCATACCTCCGACCTTCCAAGCTCCTGAGCCCGATCGACCAGTAACACCCGCAACCCCCATGACACCAGCAACACCCCACTCCATGGGAGGGTCTGGATATTTTGCCCTGAGTCACACACCAAAGGGTTCTCCGAAGACATTCATCGACAAGATCTCCAAGTCCATGGAGATGCTGCAGATCAAGTCACTGACACTTCGTCGCTCCTGGCTCATCTCGCATGTCCTCTTTGCTGTGCTCATGGCACTCACATTTGTCGTCCGTAGTACTTGGGGCGCAACTGCTCTTGTTGGTGCTATTGGCATTCCCTGGTGTGTCACAAATTGGGCTCCCTTTGCCATTATTGCATCCGAGATTTCCAAGAGGGACGCCATCCGCCGAGGCATTATTCGACCGCGCGATCGCGAGTCTCAGCTCATTGCTGCTGGTGAAGACGATGGTTCCGGTGCAGACTCTGCGGGCGTGGTACTCGGCATTCACAATGTTGCCATCGCTGCACCACAAGTCATCGCGACTCTCGTCAGTGCAGTCATGTTCAAGTTTCTGCAAAAGCCAAGAGGTACCGCGGGCGACGATAGTGTGGCTTGGGTATTGCGATTTGGCGGCTTGTGCGCCATTGTAGCTGCATGGTTGACATTGCGAGTCACCGAGGAGAAGGTTGAAGAGGAAGTAGAGGAGCCATTCCGCAGAAGGCGGATGTCCTAGGACGACTCCGATCAGGAATCCTGCCTACAACTGCGATGTGAATTAGAGGAATCTTTCAGGCGTATGGGTTCGAGTGAAGACACTGCGACTCTGTCGAGCCTTTGAGCTACGATTTACGAGTCCACGTTGCTCGGCATGCGCCTCCATGCATATGAGGGCTTTTACGGTTCGGATTATTTGGGCTACCAAACTTTTGCTGGCCCGGTTTGGTTTTGAATTTGATGCATTAATGCGAGCGTCGGAGTTGTGGCCATGAAGATGGCATGCAGTTTGCATGCGGGAGTGCAAGGAAACGTACACACGGGAATGGGCAAATAGGGCGTAACATTTTCACTCCTTTAGAACCTAGATCAGGTTTTTCAATGCATACATGGTATCTACTTCTCTGATCTTGAGGCACTCTGCGACGGGGATGGGCGGCATGGTAATTGTAGCACTAGGATACACTATAAATCACGCAAATAGACTGTGTGTTGGAGAGCCTAGTGCGTGTGAAATCCATTTCTCTCTCATCTCCAGTTAGCTCCATCTTCGCCTGCTGTACTGGACTGGTGTCTAGTAGAGAAACCTGGTGGTCCAAGCGGCTACTACCTAGCCTCGACTAACTAGCGTCCTCGTACTCCTACATGCTGTACTCACATGCTCTGTACCATTACCCATACAGGAACACGACTTCCACATCTATTCTTTAAAACAATGCCAGAAAAGAATCTTATGGTGTATAGTAAGCCTTGTGTTACCTCGTTTATCACGCCATCGGTATCGCAATGTCTAGTTGCCCAAGTACCTTAGCTTTCCGATTTCCCCTCATCACTAAAAGAGCTCGCAACATAATTCACCAACAACAGACCAGAGTTAACCTCAAATTATAGAGGTTGTCCCACGATGACACAACCTCTCCATGAATCAGACATCCTTTTCCCCTACCAATCCAACACACCTTCCTTCTCAACAACGCTTTCCACACTCCGTCGCTCCACGCTCTCCCTCCACAACCGCCTATCCTCCATCACATCTGACAGCTTCTTCGTCACATCTGTCGCTTCTGCTTACAATCTGCCGCTCATCGCCAACGAGCGTTGTGGCAGCTGGTACATTCCCACCACGCAAAAGGCTGGGAGTGTGTATTTCAAGAGCACAGACGGACACATGGGCCAATGGAAATTTAGCCTTCGACGGTTGAATTTGCAGTTGCTGGATGTGGTGGCGGAGAAGGGTGGGGCTATAGTGGTGGATAGTACGAGGAGGGGAAAGAGTATGCCGGATGCTTTGAGCAAGACTGTGCCAATCTGGTGTGCGGTTGTTAATAGGGCGGTTTTTGGAGAGGCAGTAGAGGAGGGGAGGTTGTATGTGCCGCCAAGCGTGGTGGGAGAAAGTGAGAGGGTGCAGATGGAGGGAAGGATTGCGGGGTTTTTGAAGCAATTTAGGGTAAGTGTTGCCTTTTAGATAATGCGATGATGGAGTGAGATCGCAAGCTATGTGTTTTGATGTCAATGGAGTCTGGGGATTGACACACACTCTAGGAGGTTTGCAAACCGCATATTCCCACTCTCCGAGCCAAACTTACAAAACCTCTTCGCCCCATTTGGATTACCCAAGCATCCAGTCTTCCCCCGGCGCCACCATCATTCCTGGATTTCTACCCAATCGTCCTGTGTACAGCTTCCCGTCGCGTCCAGGGGGCCGAGATTTCGGAGAATGGCTATGTCCAGGGTGCAGCTGATGATCACGAAGCCTGGGCACATGGTCTGACACCACCGCTTTTTTGGGCCAACAAAGATTTGCTTCTAAACACCTCCGAAGAGGACGCACCAAGTGTCATTGAAAAGTTAGTCGCCGATGAGCAAGGCCCAATAGCGACCGCTACACTCATCCGACCAACAAAAAACCTATACATTTCGGCCTGCGAGGGCATAAACCCAAGCGACTTCGACGCAATCATCGAATGCACACCAACCCCTCTCCTGACCCAAGCCTCCAAAGAAAAGGCCCAGACTCAGACTCCAAGACACCATCTCCACCTCGCATGCCAAACAGGCAAACTCGGCTCCCGCACCCTCCGCACCCAACTCCCCAAACTCCCCGCCTTCCTCGCCTCCCTCGCCTCCCTCTTGCAACCCAAGATCCTCGTCTGCTGTCCAACGGGCAAAGACCTGTCTGTCGGTGTCGCCCTCGCCATCCTATGTCTTGCAGCCGACGACCAAGGAGTCATGGACGGCAGATTGCAAGCCCAAGGCATCACAAAAGACCTGATTAAGCAAAAACTCAGCTGGATCACCACCAGTAACCCGGCCCTCAACCCCAGCCGCGCAACCCTCCAAGCCGTCAACGCCGTGCTCTTTGCAAGACAGACTCTAAACCCTACTCCCCTCGTCCACTCCCCTGAACCCGCAACACATGACCCAACATGCCCACCCCGCCAACTGTCAATTCCAGAACGCATCTTCACAGTCCTCCACACACCCTCCCAGCCCTGGACCTTCACTCGTACACTCTCCTCCGTCCTGCCCACCCACCCCTCGGGCCGCGTAACAGGCACCGCGACATTTACACCCTGTGCGCCTGGGGCACAGGGGGCGCCGGCCCTGCTGTACGCTGAACAGGGCGAGTTTACGCTGGCTAATGGGATGAAGTTTGGTGTGCAGCGGCGCTATGTCTATCTGCTTGAAGAGGGAAATGGACGCGGTGATGAAAAGTCAGAGACGGAGCCAGAGAAAGAAGAAAAAGGTAACCCACAAGAACAAACGACCCCAACGGCACCAACATCCCCATTCCCCCCTCCAAACGCCCCAAGTCAAAAATTCATAACCATACACTTTTACAACGACGACGCCGCCAACACAAACACAAACACAAACACAAACTCCGCGATAAACAAATCACACACTCCCCCCCACAACCCCGCTCCCGTCCAAAACCCACAAATTGGAGATGTATTCGTTGAAATGGATACACTGCGCTTGAGTGGCCGGCCTGCTTCTTCTTCCTCCACCTCCTCCGCCTCCCCTCCAGATCACTGGCTCGCAAGAAACAAAGCACAACATCTTTGTGCCGAGGACTTGTATACTGCGAGTTGGAAGTTTAGTGCTGGGATGGTTGGTTGTGGTCATGGTCATGATGGCGGTGGTGATGGGGATGGGGGTAGTAACGCAGGGACTGGGTCTGGAGTTTGGGACGAGGGACATGTGTGGTGGGAAGTGCGGTATGATGCCAAGGGGCCGAAGAAGGATTATTCGAGTGTGACGAGGTATGTGCGAATGTAGGGGGGTGAGAGAGATGGATAAGGAGAAGGGGGAGAAGATATAGAGGGTAATAATTTAGGGTATCAAGCCACGCAAACCAAACCCAACCCAACCATCTACAACGAGCAAAAACAACCCGAATTCCCCAACCCGGTTTACCTAATCTGTACCCAGCGAACCATCATAACATACCAACAGCTACTAGAACACCCCCACGCCTTGTTAAAAAAACCATATTCAAAGCCGCTAGACTCTGTCAAAAACAAAAGTTCCATGCAGGGTCACAGAGAAAAAAAAACCCCACGAGTGAGGGATTCAAGCACCACCCCTCAACAGCCTCGAAACCAACCTCACCATCTTAACCGCCACATTCACCACCAGCGCCGCCGCCGCCGTCGGCACAAAAACCTGAATCCACTCCCACCAGCGCGCAGGCCTAACCTCCGTCTCGATCCAACCCGCGCCCCTCACGACCGCGCCCTTGCCGCCGTCGGCACTCTGGTCGAAGCTCTCGCCCTCATCGGCAGGGAAGCGCTGGTGGTCGACAAAGTATTGGAGCAAGTCGTCCTTTTCGCGGAAGCGGGCGAGCAGCCAGGCTGCAAAGACTGTTTCATCGTGGAGGGGAATGTCGGCGATGCGGAAGCGGCGGAGGTGTAGGTTTACGGAGGCTGGGGAGCGGCCTTGGAAGTAGGTGCCGCGGAGAGTGAAGATGTCTTGGCCGTATTGGCCAGCGCTGGGGAGGGTATTAGTGGGGATTTGGGAAGGGTAAGGAAAGACTTACGGAACGCCTTCGTAGGCGAGGGTGCAGTCGTACATGTATTCGACTGTGTCCTTTAATTCTTGCAGACAAAATGACAGGCCTGTGCTGCGTGGCAGTAATGCGTGGCGGAGATCGGGAATGCCGTTCTTGTCTGCCCATTTCTTGCTCGCGACGCGTCCGTTTGTGCTTAGGTTTGTGCCCTCGGGAAAGATGAGGAGCCACATGGGATCGAGACCTGGGGTTCCGGAGAGCGGGCCGGCGTGGCTGGTGCTCAGCTTCTTCAGACGGTATTGGAAGCGTTCTTTGTCGGTTGCCCACTTGCGGGAGAGGAAGATGAAGCCGTAGAGCATCATGCCGGTACCGATGATGGGTATGTATTTGATTGATTCTTTGAGGATGATGTAGAGGTGGCCGTGCATGTCTGCGGTATAGGCCATCCACCAGAGGTAGACCCAGTCTGTGTAAATCTGGAGTCAGAGTGAGTACAAGGACTTTGCAGCGGACATGGGATTCGCAAAAAGCTGACCTGGTGGTTCGAGATGAGGACTATGCGCTCGGGGAAGTCGCATTCTAACCTCCCATCTGCCGTCTTCCTCATCTGCCCTCGTACACTAGCATCTCCACTGATTCTGACCGTGGTGGGCGCCCACCAGTAAGTCATGGTTGCGCTGACGATGCCGAAATGCTGTTTGGTCATGGCCATCCAGGCGTAGAAGAGGTCCTTGGAGTACAGGTATAGGGGCGCGCCAATGTATTGGGTCACAGAAATGCTGATGTAGAGCGTTAGTGACCTGTCACGCGGCTGTCAGCTTAACATGTATACCCACGCGAGGATGCTGCTGCTGAAGTACAGAGCGAACAGGGCCATGCGAATAGCCTGCTTAAAAGCTCCATGCTTGATCTCTCCTCTGGGATGAGGTGGTGGTATCGATGATGCGGCGCCCTTTTCTTCTGTTGATTCGGTCGAGGCGGTCGAGGCGGTCGGTGTCGAGTGTCGAGTTCGCTGTGCCTTCAACTTCTCTATGACGGGCACGGATCCCGGCGGATATCGCTGCTTCAGGCCGTTGGTTGCCATTTCTGCCATGCATGAGAGAGCCCTTGGTGGAGAGCGGTTCGATTCGGCGAAGGGCCGATTAGAGGATAGTAGGAGTAGCGGACGAGGGCACGAGAGAGCGAGGGAGAGGGAGAAAGAAAGAAAGAAAGGAAGAGAGAGAGAAAGAGAGAGAGAGAGAGAGAGCTTCGGAGCCTTCAGCGGGGAGGAGCGGAGGGGGCGTGCGGTGGATTGTAGGTAGTATGGAGGTAGTTTACATGGCATGCATTGCCTTGGGCCTTGGAAGCTGCTGACTACTGTACAAGTTCACACGACAGTGCCATGGTCCTGGGGCCGTGTTGAGGTTACTTTGGTATTAGAAGGAAGAATGGAGGAGGGACATGTGGTATGAACATGAAGATTGGACATGGTGTTGCTGCATGGAAGCTGCTCGTTCCAACCTTGCTCCTCCATCCCGTCGCGTGCCGAGGATGGGCGCGCAAACGGCTCCAGCTTCTTTCTTCAAGCACATGCCAAAAGTGCCCCGCCAACACAACAGGGTTCCACCACCTTGACTCGCGAGCCAGGTAGCCCGCCAAGCTTCTTCTTCTTTTTCTTCTTCTTCTTCTTTTTCTTCTTCTTCTTCTTCTTCTTCTTTTTCTTCTTCTTCTTCTTCTTCTTCTTCTTCTTCCACTTCCTCCCGGCCTAACACCGTACACACGAGCTGTCGTTTCACCCACGATTCTCACATTGCTCGCGGAGAGACTCTCGACCTGCATGTTGAAGAAGAAGAAGAAGAAGATGCAGCCTGCCATTGCCGTCGCTGGGGTTGCCAACTCCATCATCATATAACACGGTAGGACATCACGAACCGTTGCGCTCAAACTACCTTCATCCAATCGTATTCTGGATTCACTGTTGCAACACGCATCACGACATCCTATGGCGCCCATGAACTCTCAGTCGATACTCCGCGTACATTTCCTTGTGATAGAGGATCAACAACACCATCCTAACAAGTTATATTCCACTCTCCTACTACCATGAGACTGCCACAACACCGCGCCCTGCCTTGGCGATCCGTCGTCCCTCCATTGCAGTCCCGCAGCTTCACCTCGACCTCTCGCCGTCCCGAGATCAGACACATATCCGACCTTCCTTCGCGAATCAAGCCATCATACATACAGTCGCCCTCAAACACCCTGCTCAGCTTACAATGGCCCTCACCGCCGCGCAACATCCTCATCACAAAGAAGAAACGCACGCCCAATATTACCGAATCCGTCGTCAAGTTCGCTTCCCACATCCGCTCTACCTACCCCTCAATCAACATCATCTTCCAGCCCGACGCCGCAAAAGAAATACACAAACAACTACCGTTTCCTGTATATACGTACAACAAGGGGCTCAGCGTGTCCAAGTCTCTGTCGGATAAAACCGATCTGGTCTGCACGCTGGGTGGTGACGGTACCTTGCTACGCGCGAGCAGTTTGTTCAGCCATGCAGAGAGCGTGCCACCCGTCCTGAGCTTTGCCATGGGAACTCTTGGATTCTTGGGGGAATTCAAGTTCAAGGAATACAAGCGAGCATTTCGAGAAGTATACATGAGCGGCGCGCCAGACACGTACTCTACCCTATCAGACTCGCCAGCCGGACCCCGACCCCCGACCCCCACTTCCCCAGACGACCCCCTCGATAAGCCGCTATCCTACGCAGGCATACGGGGCAAGGCAATGGGTACCAACAGAACAGCACGCATCTTGCTGCGCAACAGACTCAAAGTTGGCGTCTTTGGCCCAGACGGTACGCGAATCGGGGGTGCGCCAGGCGAAGGCGATACCTATGCGCTCAACGAAGTCACACTCCACCGCGGCTCCAGTGCCCACTTGAAAATTATCGACGTCTACATCAACAATCGCTTCCTGACCGAGGCGGTCGCAGATGGAATCATCATCAGCTCACCCACCGGCTCAACAGCCTACAGTCTCTCCAGCGGAGGAAGCATCGTGCACCCCCTGGTTCCGTCCTTGTGCCTTACGCCCATCTGTCCGCGATCGCTATCGTTCAGGCCGCTTGTCGTTCCGGCCAATACGCCCATAACCCTTCGATTGGGCGAGAAGAATCGTGGCCGCGAAGTTGAGGTCAGCATTGACGGGCATACCATTACGGAGAAGATGGGTGTGGGCATGGAAGTCAGAGTTGCAGGGGAAGAGGTGCGAAGAGCCGATGGCGTGTGGGAGGGAGGTGTGCCCAGCATCGTCAGAGGCACCATGGGCAAGGACGAAATGGCCGAGGATCACTGGGTAGGTGGTCTGAATGCGCTGCTCAAATTCAACTATCCCTTTGGAGACCAGGATACCTAGCCGTGAATGGGAGAGTTCTATCTTGTCATCATTATACTGCATGATAGGAGCACTACGTAGAAGCCAATGGTAAGAGGAGATGACCATGAAACTAGAGATTCCACTAGCATGCCCAATCATCCATCTACAAACAAAATCTTGCCCTCTTTCATATCTACGAGAGATGAATCAAATGCGCTGCCCCTTGCCAAAATATCCCAAACATAGTTTAGGGGAGCCCACATAGGAAAATGGTATCTTTTTGTACAACCATCGTCTGCAATCGCGCAGTCTGTACAGAGCAAACTCAAATCCACCCATCCATACTTAAACCATGCACAACGTTTCCCAAAAAGAAAAACTCCTGCAATACAAAATCTGTCTCAGAGCAACACCCTCCTCCTCCTCCTCCTCTTCTCCTCCCCTCCCTTATCATTCTTCCACGAGCCCGCATAATGATGCGTCACCAACTCCGGTGACAACTTCTCCTCGGGCTTAAACACATTCATACTGAGCGCAAACGATATACTGGGCATAATCAGGACATCGCCCAGCAAGACCGGAACAACCAGCTCTTTTACATCGTCCGGGCCGACGGTCCGATTCAGCATATTCGATAGACCGGTGAAAATGCCCCGAGTCAAACGGCGTGGGCCGGTGAAATCCACAACGTCGCCGGCGATTTTCAGCGTGAGTTCTTGTGTCGTGATATTGTGCTCTGCCTTGAGTTTGCCAATGTCGGCCAGGATATCGTCGATGATGAGGGCGAGGTATGGGGATCGCGGGGCCGACATGATGGTCCACGAGGTGAATTGGCGTATGTAATTGCCGGGGAGGCCGTGGTCGAATTCCCAGCCCACGACGAGCTGAGCCTTGTCCTTGTATTCGGCGGGGATCCAGTCGTCAATGGGCGTCTCCTTGCATGAAACGTCGAGGTCGGACCAGATGCCGCCTTTGTCCCAGAGTAAGAGGTAGCGGAGGATATCGGCTTTGAAAATGGGCACCGGGAGCGAGAGATAGGCTTCTACGAGGTCGGGGCGGGAGGCGGAGAAGGTTTCGCGGACCCAGGCGTCGCTGCTCTCGTCGGTCATGAAGGTAGCGCGGTACTCTGGGTTGGGTTTGATACACGTGTCGGTGTGGTTGCGAAGTTCCTCGCTCAGGCCGCGGGGGCCCAGCTTATACCAGAGTAGCTTGGGGATGTTACCAGTACGTGGTACTTTGGAATCGCCGCCATGTCGGAGGGAGGGGACGATGAAGCCAAAAGTCGAGGCTGCGTCGAGCGCGTAGAAGTGGTAGAGGAGGCCTAAGATGAAGAGCGCGAGAAGGTTCGGGTAGCTGAGAACCTTGGATAGCGCAATTCGTCTTGTCACCATTCTTGAAGTTGAGGTTTGGCCCAAGGAACAACGACAGAGACAACGACGATGACGACGAAGGAACGCGTCGAGATGCAAAAGTGAATGTCAGATGTAGCGCAGGTATGGGAAAACTTGGGCCGCAGTCAGGCCATCAGAGGATTCATAATTCCGTATCAAACCCCCAGTAGCCCCCCATGCGGCGTGAGCCGTCTGTGGGATGATGCCTAGCCACCTACCTTTGTATCATTCTGTTGGTCCGCTGCAACGGTCAGCCCCTGGTACGAGTGGTGAGTCTTGGCCATCGAGGCAATACCGGTATGGGTCACCAGAACCCTTTAGCCTTTAGGTCTTACTATGCCGTAGTCTTCAACGTCAAATAAAGCGAGTACATACACAAAAAACAACAAATGACACCCATGGATGAGATCCACAGAGGAGACGCGGAATGAGATTACGGTCATATAACATCGAAAAAGAGCCGATAGGTACTCATGTGGCGTCTACAACTCAAGGCACCGCTAATGTCGTATCGGTCCGGTCGGATCCAGTACAATCGGTACACAAGTGACAGGTATGAAATCTAGCAGACATTCAGCTTGGTCAGTTCATAGTCGGATACGAGGCATGGCGCCTTGGGTCGCTGCCGTACATAGACAATCGACAACGTAGTAACAATACATACCACATCTAAGGGAAAAGCTGGGTGTTTCCCCAACTGTCACTGAGTCAGTGTTTGGCCCGCTTGTGGATCGCCATCTTCCTAGCGCGATGATCATCACATACTCCAAACACATATATGTAGGTAGGCACAACAGCGGCGGGGGCTTACAGAGCAGCCCATCAATCCCCGGCATGGTTGTCACCATCGCCTGTTATCTACACATGAGCCTTGCTGGCCTGGGGAACGGAGCGATGTAGGCTATGGTGAGGGTGAATGTGTTGCTCGCGGTCATGCAACAGGGTACCGCCGTATTGCAGTTGGCGCGCGTCGTGGCTGAATGATCGAGATCCTCGTCTGGAAGATGAATGCGGTACCGGACTAGTAGACCGCCGGGATCATCGCTTGGCACGCGACTTTGGTCTGCTAAGCAGCGGCAAGCCCCTGGGCACCTATAGTCTACCAGTCAGCGATTCATTTTTGCTTACAACCTTACGGCTAGCCTGGTACATAGGCAGGTAAATACAACAGTACCATGTGTAATATCTGAACTTTGCAGCACCGCATCAAACCTACCTAACCCTAGCCTGTAAGCAAGTCTCGGATTCGTAAGCCCTGTATCAGCACGCTAGGTACAAGCTGTGTCATTTCACCATCGTAATTTCCCCCTTTCGAAGTTCTACCGGTAGCGGCCAGTTTCGGTTTTTGAAAATCTAGAGTGTTTGTTCAAGGCCGGTGGGGGCCGGTGTTAGGAATAATCACTTTGCTGTCAATACGCAATGAATAGGTAATCACTCAGTCTGTGTACTCAGTACGGTATGTATGTTGTTGCATACCACAGTCTTCTTGAGTCATGACGAACTGGGGCTTAACCTGATGCTGTAGTATCTCTGTGCTGTGAAATTCCAATCGCAACCTTTAAGAAACAAAAGGCCTACTTGAGTCTCAGAACACCAATAGGTAAGCTTCATCGAGGCGACTGGCGAGCATACAAACTGACCTGACTACCCGTCCGTACTTGCGCGGTGGCAGACATCGTCTTAACCATCCATCTGCTTTAAACTGGACTACTTCTTTATTTTGTATTATCGCCATAAAGGTAACAACAACCTTCATCTCTCTACCGTTGTACAACAGTGCCGTAATTCCAAGCATCTCTACTAGTGTTCGTAAAAAAATCATACGGAAAGACTCTATAATGTATTCGCTCAGAAGGTAACCGCCTGGAGACAAATATAACGAATAAGCGCATGGCTAGGCGAGAAAGAGGTCATGTTAGGGCTGTTGGGGAAGTAATTCATGCTAGTAAGACCGACGGCCGTTACTCGGACTGTAGCCTAATCGGGTAACTCAGGTGAGCGAGATTTTGAAGGCGGAGGGACTGTCCGATACGCCAAGGGGCGAGATAAAAGAGGCCGATGGACAAGGACACAATACATACCACATAATTGCACATGGAGTTTGGTTTCATATTGTCATTACTTGCAACGCAGCCAGAACCCACCGAGACAGAGACAATCAAGTTTGCATTAAATGATTCAAATAGCATTATGCCCGCTATTCATATATCACCCGAAATATATTTCTTAAGCCTTCTTTGTGGCATCCCATGGCATCAAGAACTTCGCTTCTCTCATTTTGGTGGCTGTGCTTTCGTTTCCTCTGATTCCCTTGCCTCATGCTCGACGTGCTTCGACCTTGTTTCCAGCTTCCTTGGCTTCTTCTGCTTTTGCTCGGTCGACTTCTCTGATAGTTCTTGCTCGGAATGTGATTTGATCTCTAGTTTCCTTGGCTTTTTGCGAGGCTGATCATTTGTCTTCAATGCTGACTCTTGCTTCTCGTCGCTGGAGTCTGAACTTTTCTTCTCGGCGTCATTGTCTTGCTGTTTAGCTCCACTTGAACTCGTCAAGGAAGGCAGACTGGGCAGGCAACTCTTCATCTTCTTTAGCCAACCTTCGTCCATGTCCGCACCACCACCATCCTCCACGAACCCTTTTAGGTCCTGCTTATCCGGCATCTCCTCGTCGTTCACTTGATCCAGCATCTTCTCTAGGGCCTTCTTTTGCTCATCGCTCGCAGCCCAGCTGGGCAGGTCACCTGTAATCTTTCGAATCCCTTTTCCGGCGAATTTGCTGAGGTCCCAGAACGGGCCATTGATGGCACCAGCAGCAGCGCCGATGCCTCCACCAATGCTGCCGAGAAGAGTAGAGGATACGCTGCCGACGAGTGTTCCTGTGATGGCTCCCAGTGTGACTCCTGGAGCAGCACCAAGTCCAGTGCCCATTGCTAGACCTTGGAATGCACCCGAGCGCATGTATTTGGCTGTCTTGCCAAACGACTCGGCTTCGATCTGTGCCTCAATGGCTTGTTCCATCAACTTCTGTCGTTCATCTGCATCTCCTGCGCCAGCAGCTGCTTTCTTTAATTCGTCTGCCTTCTTCTGCGCCTCCATGGCAGCGCAGGCCGCTCTCGAGCTTTCTTGACGTACTTGTTCATTATCAATTTCTGGCTTTTGGGTCTTGGATTTGTCTAGAGACGTGTCTTTCTCCTCAGTCGTCGGCATCTTCAAGGTTGCAGTCGTTGTCTGTGTTGTGTTCTGACCATCGTAAGTTCTTCTAATTCAGAACCTGTATGAAGTGCATAAACATGCATGGATCCATCGACGTCATGCTATGGTTACGCGAGCACTAGCGCACCAGTTGGGAGCCTTTGAAACGACGAACCAACAATCTTGGAAGTGTGAGGATATATTCGTGTCTTCCTCTGGTCATGGCACGGAACATGTTTTGTTCCTTGAGGTACCGGTACCGTATAGGGCTCTTCAGAGAAAACGCATTCATAATGGCAGTGAAGGTCCAAAGACGGCCAGTGGTGCAGGCAAGCTGAAGTAGCCAGGGACTGATTGAGAAAGCGAGCGAACACCAATAAACAATGTGAGCGTGTTTCAGTGAAAGATCACAATGGCATAATGTGTGGTGTTGGTCCAACGGGTATGACCCCGTTCCGTACATCGACGCATGCATAACCTCGCTTGATCTGCTGGATGTTACCCTCTTGAAACCCAGAATGCCTGTAAAATATAACCCACAACTTCAAAATTCGTCGTGTTTCCAAACACACCTCCAGCAGTATCTTTCCCGTTATCCCAGTACAGCCGTCTCAACCAATCGTGAAGATGCGGATAGTCATACCGTATCATTTTCAGATTACAACGGAAAAACGGATAGTAGGCGATGTCGAAACGGATAAGCGTAGTGTAAAGTCGAATGTCGGATTCAGTGATGTGCGGGCCGAAAAGGTACGGATGGTGTTCTGGTTCTGTCAGGTGTGTTTCGAGCTGATCGAGCGATTTGAATAGTCTCGTGATATGCTCTGTGTATGCTGCTTGAGACCTTGTGAGCCCAACTTTATAGACGCCGTTGTTAATTGTATCGTATACCCAGTCATTAAGCGCGTCAATCTTGGATATCAAATGAGCAGGACGAAGAGCCGCTTTCCCTTTGCTAAGCTCTCTCTTTTCTACAGGCAATAGGTGGTCGAATGCGTCGATCAGCATACGCATCATGTCTCCGCTGTCATTGTTCACAATGGTTTCTAGATAGGATCAGTCTCTACTTCGTAGGGTTAACATAATGGAGGCGTGGGTATTACGTTGCTGCTTGTCCCACAGTAATGGAACAGTCACTCTCCCACTATACTCAGGATCTGCTAACAAGTATAAATCCTTCAAACATTTTGCACCAATGATAGGATCACAATGTGGGCCCCTATGACCTGAAAAGTGCCAGCCCCGTACTTGATCCCTCGCATCTACTTCCACGGTTTGTATTATGTCCCCTAGACCTTTGAGCGCGGATACAATGATGGCTCGGTGTGACCAGGGACAGACAGCGTTGAAGTAAAGTACATAACGACCTTTTTCGGCAGGAAAGCGCTGGGATGGTATGGTACCACGAAAGGAGTAAGCCATCCGGCCCCAGATGGTTATCAGCGTCGAAGGTATGCAATGCCTTGACTTCGACTGTTATACCGGTAATGGGAAAGAAGTCGAGTAGATAGACGGCGATGGAAATAATTGAAGTAGACTGTAGACATGCAAAGGAATGCAACAGGAATGATTACGGTGGCGTGGCCAACAAGACACACAAACACCCTCTGACGAGCAAGCGCGGTCTTCACGGTACTCTCAACCATGACCTGCTCTGATGCACAGTTGCATGAGAGGACGGCATGATTACAAAACAGCCAGAGGATTGATTAGTAGATGCGCTGCCTACAGCATATCCACAATCAGGCAGAATGCGTCTTCTATGACGAACAGATGTTAGGATCGGATGCCGAGAATGCAAGAAGAAGTACTGAATGGGATATCGGTTCGCTGTATCCGTGTCCTCATGATGTGTACACACACGATTATGGGCTGAATAATTGATGATAGCGTTAATCAACAAGGGGTAGGCAGTTCACTAACCCTATCTAAGCCTTTTGCGGTCGTATTCCGGCCTGTGTTTTTTCTTCGTTGCAACACGCACCCTGCGCGCTCTCTCTCTTCTTTGGTCAGCGTAATAATGATCAGTTGGAATGGCATCTAGCTATTGCCATGAGACATTCGGCTATCAGCATGACCACATCACGACATCGCAAGATGTTTCTCGATTCCCGCAATGTATCCTGCTGAACATTCGATCTTTCAAAGCACCTACTGTTTCGCACCAAGGAGAACACTGCAGCCACATACTACCTACACAGTACACAGTAAGTGAACAAGCCTTGGCGATCAGCCCACGTATTTCTACTGGTCCAACACGAACCGCTCCACGTCAGTCGCCATCGTTACTTTCTCAGGTGAGGTGGTGTGGTGATTTATAACCGCTTAGACTTGATCACTATACACCCGAGGCACCACCTAGACACCGAGAATCCCATCACAAGTTCCGCACTTTGGATTCGCGTGCTCCATCTCGCATAGGCATCGATCGATACCCTGCCAGACATGCCACGTGGCGACGCTCTGTCTCGAACCAGACTTTGATGGCGTTCTTCTTACTTTGCTTGCCTCAAGAGAAGAGCATTCATGTGACTCTCAAGTAGAGCAGGCATCACGCTGAAGGGCGCGCTGATTATCCATTCTCGCATCCTCTAAAAAGATGCCAATAACAAAAATATCGTCATCATGGAGACTGCAGATCAAGGACTCAGTCTAACCAAAGAAAAAACAAGTGTTGCTGAAAAACACCCTGTCGTAACAAGGCCCACATAGAGGCTATCTACAACGCCGGGCAGGGTGTTGCTGATTCCAGGATTGAGATGACAGTGACGCCAGGCGGTACCACAGTTTCGCACGCTGCTCCGCGATGAGGCTGTGGGTTGTCTGTGCTCATACACGAGGGTACTTTCTTGAGTGGAGCGAATGGGCATTTGATATCCGGCCATCTGGTACCAAAGTACGTATGGTGTATCTACCTTTTCTCGTTGGAAAGGTTACATAATAGCCTATTTACATATAATCTGTATTTTGAGCGAGATATTACGGCAAGGGGTATGTGCCGATTCTTGTATAAGCATTCTGTGTTGCTTCACACTAGTCAGATGAGATGAGATATTTCATGTCCGCTAAATTCCCAAAAAATGCTCGGAATTCAACTCCAACCCCCACAAAAACTTCATCGCGAAATCGTTGCATCATCGATCGCCAAAACTGTAGCCGCTCCCACCATGACTTGGTTGTCTGTTTACTGCATCTATGTTACCGACCCCAGCCTCTCTCCTGTAGTCCTCGTAGCCGCCAGGACTCAGCGCATCAGCAGGCGCAGTGGGATCCCTGTATTCAGCATACGAGGGCACCGGCCTTGAGTATCCGTCGTTCCTGTCAGAACCCCAGCTCAGCGGCCTTCCAGGATGCCGCCCTTCATCTGTCTCTGTGCTGTGTAGGAGGGCATACTCGTCTTCTTGTTGGGAGCTGCCGTGGTCGGTGTGTTGGTCGGTGGAATCAGTCGAGTTGCGCTGCGCCGTTTCAATCTCGGTCGACCATGCGTTGTCCTTGGGCGATTCGCCGGAAACATAGTGGGGATTTGCCTTGTTCGACTCGTAGGGGAGGACGCCCTCTCGCTTGTACTTGACAAAGTAATAGCTGCTGATACCAGTTGTAATACCGAAAAGTATGCTGCGAGGAGCAAAATCAGTACAATGTGCAGGCAAGGACGCAGAGAAGGTAGAGCAGCTTACAAAATTACAACACCCATGCCGACTGATGCTTTGCTGACTTTGCACTTGCTTTCGCTCCCATATGCAAATGTACTGCAATTTCTGTCATCGTCTGCTACCTTCTTCTCCTGGGCACCCTTTTTGATACCATTCGAGTTCCACATGGCGACAGCGATAAATGCTGCGAACCACAAAATCATAAGCAGCGCATCGACAGCAAGGAAGGCATATGCGCTAGCGAAGCGTGCGGCTCTGGTCCACATGGGTACCATGGTGAGATATATGATGGCAGGTATGGAGAAAAAGCACTGTAAAGCTGTTAGCCTCATTTCTGCCTTGCAGCGCTGAGAGCCTGTCTGTAGCGCAAGCCATGTAGAGCAGGCGCCCAGAGCGAAGGTTCACTCACCATGGCAAAGAAGTACTTGGTAGACCCTCCTGTTGACCCATCTTTGGTCATGACAGCTATTGTCAGGACCGCTGCCACAAAGATGAAGACAGCCTGGAAGCTGTGTGCCACGACCTTGCATTTCTGGATATACGACTGCGGTACCCTCATATTGACCAGGCGCTCCCCTTCTGACGTCCCCGGCGGGCTCTAGGATGGCGTCGTCGACTCGCAAACAGTGAAAGGGTGGGTGTAAACACAGCCCCAGCCTGGCAAACACAGGTTCAGAGGACTCGCTTCGAAGTACTACTGTGTGTGTCGCAACACGCCGTCGCCGATGATTCCACAGTGTTATAGAAGATGGCCTGGGGGTCCGAAATGTATGCGATCGCAAATGGAAAAAGATGAAAAGAGGAGAAAGCAAGCGGGCGGGCGGGCGGGCGGGCGGCGTAAACAGTGAATGTCAGACAGACATGTCCACTTCAAGTCTCAGCCTCAGTTGTGGATCTGCGCAGCCTGGCGTCTCCCCCCCCCGCGGCGCCAGGGTCTGGGCTTAACCTGGCAACGCCATGCGCTTGTTAAATTTAGAGTCTGGTAGCGAAGCCACTTTGGCGTAAAGAGGAGTAGAGTAGAAGCGCGCATGTTTTCTCGACGTTGGAACTGGAGGAGCGATGACGCAGATTGCTTGCTCGCGTGAGATTTGCAGGTTGGTGCGCACGAGCGTACCGGTACCTAGACCTGCAGTCTCTATCCTTTTATTGGTGCATGCTCGTCCATGTCCTTGCTGTGCCACAGCATCCATCTACATGTATACACTACTTTGATGCGATGCGAAGGACACACCCCACTGCGCCTGTCGAGTACCTAGGCAACTGGGAGTCGACTGCCCATCACTGACCCGATGGTTCCGCAGCGTTGCTCAGCCGATGGCTTGCCGCTGTCATCCGTCTATTATCCCGAAGCCGCACTAGTAGTGAGAGTGGAAGCGCGGTCCGCCACCACCTAGGCAACGAACATCATTCTCTCCAGGTGCCACTCCAGAACCTCGTCCCTGAAAATGAGCGTGCCATCTTGCAATCGAATGCACTTCGCCTCATCCAAGGAACAGCTGGCGAAGATTTGGCCATTCGCGTGCGTGGTGGAAGGAGCATGTCGTGCTGCCAATATGACTGCTGTGCTACCTCGAGATCTCTTACTGTCGCAACTGGCCGTGAGTGGTGTCAGAAATGCCTGCTGTATTGTATGGGCGGCAGGGTGGATTATTCTATCACACTAGATGTTTTAGACACATCTCTATACGCAGGGACCATTTTGAAGAGATGGGCATGCGACGATCTTGTTCATCGCCTCCTTGGATATCATCTTCGGCTCGCTGCCTTATCCAGACCAAACGGGAAAGTAGCTATCTGGCAAAGGCATGGCCGCTTCGTTCTCGTGGTTGAAAGGATCACCCCAGAATCCCTATCGCCCTCGATTAGCACACGTTTTCTTCCAGTTGATTCATCCATAACTTACAAAGTCAAAGTCTGGTACACTGCCTGGAGCGGGCTGGACATCTCCCACAATGTTAGCTATATTATTGAGGTTAAAGTCGTCCCAAGAAGGTCCTGATTGATCTGGAATAGGCTGCATCGAGTTCATGGATACGGATGCAGAGGGTTGTGGCTGTAGAGGAACCCTGGGCGGCTTGTATTGCATCGCAGGACGATGCTGGTAAGAGTAGTCTGGAATGGCTTCAATCGGCGGATAGGTAGAGATATCACCAGTTGACGTGCTCTCTGGTTGTAAAGAGCGAGGAATCGGCGGAGTAGGGCTCGCATACGTGCTCGAACTTTGGGACTGTTGCCCTCTTGGAGACGCATTATGCTCAGCGACAGCCTTGTCAATCATGTTTTTTACGGCTTGCCACGCTTTTGCGGTATTGCTCTCTCTAATCTTACGAGATGTTTGTAAAGCTCTCAATGCGCGTTGTCGATCAGGCGCATCGAATAGAGGGTTTCGAAGTTCGGAGAGCACATGCATGATCGCTTGGAACGAAGCAATTCCACCTGTAGAATGAGCAATTGCCGCAGACCAAGTTCAAGTTATACGTACTAATATGCCAATGGAATCGAGCTGCATCTACATCAGCTGCAGCATGGTTGAGTGTCTCTATACAGTTGACAGACTTTTCGAAGATCCTGAAGATGTCAGTCTCTCCACATTGTCCCGCATGGTAACTGCCCAACTAGGTCAACTCACGATCTTCGTATATCTTCCGAAAACACAGAATCACGATAAACTCGCGGCATACGAAGCCAGAAAAGTAAATAACACCGCCACTCTAGAAGCGAAGCTAGATTCAGCGTTATTCGCTGCATCGGCATCTCCGGGTCGAGATAGTGTAGATATTTCCGGTGGTTCTCCTCGTGGACCTCGTCAAGCATGACCTGAATCCGCTCATATAAATCTCGCAGTTCTTGAGAAGGGTCAGGTCTTGAGGTACCGTGAAGTCCAGAGTCTAATATTCGCCGTTCGAGGCGATAGGTGCTTTGCACTATGCGTCGTAATGCTCGCATTCCCATGTACCGAACTAGCTGGAAAGTGATGTTCGTAAATTTCTTCATATCGTACGGCGTTGGGCCTGGGCTAGCTCCATCTGTAAGATCTTCATCATCGATGTTGCGCGGTATAAGTGTCGTATAGAAGTCTTCCGTTATGCTCGGCTCTTGACCCTTGCACTCTGCTGCGCGAAACTCTAAATGGCCAAGTTGATACCACATGCGGCGTCGGGATTCGATAGTAACTGCATCCATGGATCCGATTGGAAATAGTGAAGGGTCGCGGTGGAGGCCCTGATTCAACGCAATGCGAAATGCTAGCCCAAGTAAAACCCACGCTTTCCCTGCAGTCAATGTCAGTCAAAATAATGCATCGAAAGTCCTCCGGCGTACCCATATCTTCTTCTCTAGTTATGCAAGTCAACCAGAGCATAAAGCCTTGAAAAATCTCAAGATTTGAGGTTGTGAGATAATTTTCACGGGCCAGAGTAACCTCAACACCGAGCTGGAATCGATCCAGAAGATTCTCTTTGCTTTCCCCAAACATGTTTTGAACGAGATTTGGGGGCAAGGAATTGATGGCCGAGAAATAGATTGCGAAGGACATCGGATGCGCCTCTTGGTTATAGCAAAGAAATTTGCGTACTACAGTAGGTTTGTGTGTTATTCGCACCATGGGATCCACATTGGCGAAGTATACATCGAGCAAAGTGTCGCGATGCTTTTGCGTGTTTGGCAGCAGTTGTTCAAGATTTGATTGTGAACGCGCTCGACCTAGTGACAGAAGATCTACCAGCGTGCTCTGCGGGATCTCACGCCTCTCCTCTTCTGTCTTATCGCCCAAAAGAGCTTTGATGTCTTGAATCTGCAGGAAGTCAGTCAAACCCGTCCTAGAACTCGGGTTTTGAGGGAAAAGTCCCCGCAATGAGCAATGACGGGTCAATATGGTCGAAGGGATACGAAATGTGAAGGAAGGTATGGCAAAGCGCTTTCCTATCAACACTTACCTCATCTGCCAGCAGGGCATAATGCAGAGAGCTGACAAATTGCGACTGACCACCGTCAAGAAGAAGGGTACCATCGCCATCATCGGAGGCAATGCCGCCGCCGTGAGATGTTTGACTGGTCGCTGATGGTGTGTGATGTGTGTGTTCTGGTCTCTCAATGTCCATACTGGATCGTATGGAAGAAATTGGGTTATTTCCTTGACTTGCGACCACTCTCTCCAGGAGTAGCTCTAGTCGGTCTAATCGCGCCTGTACATCTACGCTCTTCGCAGGTCTATCATAATTGGTAGATACAGCTTTCGATATTCTCCCAGAGCCACTGGCCGCTTGCACTTGATCTGTCCATGTGCAGGTATGGTTGCCTCGAGTGCAAGAGCCACAGACCGGATGGGCATGGTCACACTTCACTTTTCGGCGTCTGCAAGTCAAGCATGATGAAATGACTCTTTGTCGACTTCCACTGGATTTGGGTGCGTGCGCTGCCGAAGTTGGTGCCTGGGACTGGGAGTCGAGTTTCGTTTCGACCATATCCCACCACTATGATATTTTTTTTCGGAGATTTCTTGACGTGTTTTACATGGAGACAATGAAGGTTTTTTTTGGAGTTGATCGGTGGCCGGTGGAGAAATCGTTCCGCAGTCAGTGTCGAAATTGAGAACCTCGACCGCCACACCACACTACTGTCATAAGCCGAGGCGGAGCTCTTTTCCGTACTAGCGTTGATTAGCCACAGACCTTGGAATCACATACAAGGCGCCGTCTCAGTCTGGTACATGAGACATGGACAAGACGCCCTTTTAGACGCCACTTCGAGAACATGCTTGGCTTCACATATTCACATCCCGATTCGAAGAAATACCATGCAAGTTAGCCTGTGAATATTGTGGCGCTCCTACAAGAAGTCAAAACGTAGAATACTCTTTCACTGCGTCTACATCAAGGGCTAATACGCCGGTAACGTCCTTGTAGCCATGAAGATAAGATAAAATTTATTTAAATTGCAATTCTCAGGCTTTGCCTTGTTCAATGCTGCCCAAAGTAGCTTCCTGCAGAGTGATAGTTTTCAATCCAACAAGTTCTCCACTAAAATGGGTAGTTTGTGAGATTCTTCGGGCCTTTTTCCTAATGCAACATACCGGTACTGCCTGAGGGTCACAATTGCTCCTACACAATAAATTCTATGCACATAAGGGCCTAATAGAGCAATCTACACACACCGTCTTGGGCCGACTCTCACACAATTGCCAACACACCCGCAGGTGATAGGATTGACACAATAGCATGCGTCTCTGGTATCAAATGAGCATCACATGGCTTGAAGAAACTAGGTACGAGAAAGGGTTTTTCAAGGAGCCAATAGTGATATGTTGGTATCTGCATGTGATATTACAACCTCTAGGCTGCTTATGCTCTTCACGTGGCACCGTACCAGTGCGATCAAAGTGTCCCTCAAACGAGCCTGACACATTTGTGAGGACTCAGTCGTCGTGCATCGAATTGGAACGTCATTGTAGCAATTGCCACGGAAAATTTGAACGTATGGAGATGCTGAGTCCTGGGTCCTTTCCCCTTGTTGAGCAAGAGGCAGTGACTCTGCACACGGCGCCTTTCATTGCTTCTAGATTTCCTCTTTGTACGAACACTTCCAGGACTCTCGCTGCACAGCTCGCCTCACGCTGCGTTTTTCCGTACTGAATCATTGATAACGCGAGAGCATCCATTCATTCTCACACTCGTAACGCAGACATGCTATTCATGATTGGCCTATCCATTCTTCTACTCCCATTATCCTCTGCAATCCTAGGACCTCCACTACCTTCCGAAAACATTGTCCCTCAGCACATTGGTTGCCACGACCGTTTCAATGCCAACTCTGAGATGATCTTCTTCCGCTATCCTTCAGACCACGCGTTCGAATATGCAGTCATTACCCCGTACAAGAAATACTACCCAAGGCTCCTCGAATATGCGCTCAAGGCCAATAACTTCCAACTTGCTGCTTGGCAAAATAATCAGGCATGTGGCTGGCAGAAGAGAGAGTCAGTGTATGGATCATTGGGTATCGACGCACGAAACCATCGCGGCGATACATACTAGAAGTATATTCAGAATCCACAGGAAGTTTTGACGAACTCAAGCCACGCAATCGCCTCGAGCAACACCTCGGACAAGATTATTGTGCGATCTCCAAGTCAACTCCCAAGCAACGCCACGATGGACAAGATACGCCACATCCTCTTCATCAATCCACCAGCAGGGGACGTGTACGAGCTCATCACCATTCTACTCTGCTACTTGACGGGCTCGATGATATGCTTTGTGCTTTTGATCTTTCTTAAACACTGTATCGAGCGCGAAGAGCGTTTCAAGTCTACCAACACAAAGACTGAAGTGGAGGAACTAGAACTCGAAGCCTTTCGACCATTGAACACCTCAATTATACCAATGGCCCGGGCTTCTCGTGCAACTCTTCCGACCGATTGCTGCAAGTCGCTGCAATACGAAGGTGATTCGGCTTGGTCCTTCGACGCCAATGTATCCGAGTTACCACCGTCGTACGTGATGAGCAGAGTTGGGAATTGATTGGAATTGATGTCTGGCATTGTGTAATAGGCCATCTGTTTCAAGAGGATAGGCGGCATTGTTCATTTCTCACACAGTGGCGCAGAATGATTTCGCTGCTATGAGTGATTTGCTGAAACACACCAAGAGTTGTTTGTCACAAGCACCGCTTTTTTGTACATTCTTGTTGCTTTCATTCTTCTTTCCTAAGCTTTGTAATGAAAAGTGTTCTGCCTGTCTGACTTTTATCGCTATTGGTTTTCGAGCTATGTTCGTGCCGTCTTCTTTCCTTTTACACGTCTCACTGTTGACCAGGGTGTCAATGCACGGTTTACATAGGATGTAGTACTGGCTAGCTGCTAAGGGCGCAGTTTATATGACTATGGAATTAGCGCTGCGTGAACTTGTATTTAGCATAGGGTTAGGCTATACTAAGCTCTACTAGCTAGCTAAGCGAGGTTAACTAAATATTATACTATAAGATTTTATAACGCGTTCTAAACCTATTCTAAATATATTCTATACTAGTAATACTATAAGCTACTACTACTATACCTATTACTAATATATCCCTTATATCCTACGTAAGCAGATTAAAATATATTTAGAACGTGTTCTTAATAGGTTATAGAAGTACTATTAATAGTACTTTACCCTTAGCTATATTCTAGATAATATTAGGGCATAGCCTATAGTTAGCCCTAATAAGGTAGTTAAGATAGAGAGTAGAGAGCGCTACTACTATACTAAGATTAATAATAAGGGCACCTTATATAGAGTAAGAATAGGTTCTAAATATATTCTAAATAGGTTCTAATATTCTTAGGCTATTCTAGGTACTAGGGGTGTAACAATAAGGCAGAATTGCCTGCCTATTGTTCTATGCCAAGTCAGGCCTAATAAAGGCCTAACTTACTAATGTATATAGAGAACAGCTCGCCTATAGTTAGGATAGGCATGTTCTTCTTATCCTTTTATATAAGACCTATAGGTGTAGGAATCTTATCCTTTTCTATATAGACGCGCACTCCTATATACCTTTAAGTTATATAGGATACCTTTTAGATACCCTACCTACCTAAGTTATTATATTATAAGAAGAACATTATCCTAGCTAGTAATAGCATTTAAGAATATTGCACTTATTATTATTTTAAGCTACTAATTTAGTTCTAGTAGCTACCTAACCCTATAACTCTATAGTTAGAACAGCTATTAGAACTTCTAATAACTAAAGCCTATAGGTTTAGACTTCTAGACCTATAGGTAGTGCTAGATTACCTTTAGAAAAATCGCGTTAGATTACGTTAAGGTAGAGACCTAGAGACTACTAAAAGCCTAGAGGAATTAGAGGTAAAGCTAATATCCTCCTATAACTAAACCCCCTAAAAGAAAAGAAAAGATTTATTATTCTTATTAACTATAAAATATTAGACAAAGGTAAAGGAAGAGTATCTAGTTTAGCTGCTTTTAAAAGCCTATTTACTAATAGAAAGAAATTAGATAAGGAGGACTTAATTAATAACGCCCTCCTAGAAGGACCCTCTTCCTATCTGTCTCTTAAGGTACCTTAGGCTCCTAGGAAATCTTAAAGTAACACCTCCCTTAAAGATAAATACATATTAACCCTATCTAAAAAGGAGAGGTTAGAAGAATAAGTTAAGTAACTTACTAATTAGTTGTATAACACCTCCCTCTATAAGGAGATATAGGGTACTACCTAACCTAGCTAGTCTTTAGCTTCTATATTAAACCCTATAGTATATACTATAAAAGCTAAGAGATAATCTAAAAAGACGCTAAATATCTCTATACTTAGTAATAGTGCTAATCCTACTTTTAGATAATAGCAAGCATCTATTTAGGATAGGCTAGAGATTAACGCTAATTACTACCCCTCTTCTAGAGCTTAGATAGCGTTAGTCTAGGGACACTACTTAGGACTAGCAAGAGAATACTTAGAGCCACGTTACCTATCTAATTCCCTAAGTCTTTAATTCTAAAAAGCTAAGGAAATAATTACCCTCCTTTAAACTTACTTTATTACTAGAAATAAGATAGCTAAGAGTTAGACTATATTTAACTGCCTATACATAACTAATATAGAGATATTCCCTACTTTTAAGTTATAATTCTAGAGTCTTGCTATTAGAGGAGAAGTACCCTAATTAGAGTAGTATTACTACCTCTAGATAAAGATTACACCTTCCCTAAGGATACTAAACCTTGCTTTCTAATAGAATTAGCACAATAATTTTAAGACTATAGTAGATTATCTTACTACTTTTAATATAGAACGCTGCCTATACTCTACCTTATCTGCTCCTACCTAGACTACCCTATTATCTAGAAAAGGACTAACTCCCTTCTAACACTCTAGAAACTAGTCCTATTTAGACGCTAATTAGCAATCCACTATAATAGACCTTTAATAGCTAAACCTTATATACCCTATTTGTAATAATAAGGCACTACCCCTTAAAATAATTAACCCCTATCTACTACGCCAGCCACTCCTAGCGCTACCACGCTAGGAACCCCTATAACTTGCTATAATTATAGAAAGCCTAGGCACTTCTCTAGTAACTACCTTAAACCCCCTAGGATTTAGGCTATAGATATAGAATAGGTTATTAAAAATTCTAAGGAAGAAGATACTACTAAATTAACTAATTTAGATAGCTATTAGACAGGAAACAACAACGCCTAGGAGGATCCTCCTTCCTAGGCCTAACTTAATATAACCTGTTAAACCTTTCCTTAACTAAATTGTTTATTAGTTCCTATTTACTTATATATATAACTATATACCTTAATAGATCTAGTATTTGCCTAAACGCTTTAGTAGATACTAGGGCCTAAGGTTACTTATTCCTTAATCTAAAAATTACTTATAATATCTCTTCTATACTTAGGGTACCTATCTAAAAGCTACTATACAAGCTTACTATTAAAGGGTTCTAGGATTAGATTACCTCCCTAGTTACCTACTATATTTAGCTTTATATAATAGTTAGTGGCTAAAAGGTTTATAACTGCCCCTTTATAATAGTAGACTTAGGTTCTTAGGATTGTATTATTAGATAATACTAGCTAAAATAGTTCTAAATCCTAATTAATACAGATAAATATTAACTAATCTAGCTAGAGAAATATCCTCTAACCTACAACCCCGCCCCTCCTATTCTAGTACAACTCCACTAGCAAGTGCTGTCTACTCTAGTTACCTATAATATCTTGCAAAGAGACGCCCTTTAGGATTAAGAGGAGAACTAGAACTAAAATAGTCCTAGTTTAATTAATAGGATACGTAGTATACTTAAAATTCTAGCCGCTTATAGGGCTACTCCTAAACCTATCACGCCACCTACCCTAGTCTAATTGCTAACTATTACCCCACCTACAAAATTCTAAATTACTACTATTTCTGCTAATACTTTCTATTTTAATATAAAAAAATCTTCTAATAAATTCTTTACTACTAGCCTATATAAGATTAAGCGTAGGATCTAAACCCTATCTAAATAGGATACTCTTAACCACTACTTGTTAGATTAGAAGCTCCTATCTAACTATAACTCCTATTAGGACGTCTTTAACAAGGCTAAGGCTAACAAACTTCTAATCTACTAGCCTTATAACCACAAGATAGTCCTAGAGGAACCCCTTCTAAACTACTAGAGTCCCCTCTATTATTAAAATGCTAAGGAACTCTAGGCTACTAAGGAATATATACAAGAGCACCTACTAGAAAGGTTTTATTAAGACTAGTTAGAGCCTATTTGCCTCTCCTATCCTGTGTGTTAAGAAGCTAAATAGAGGCCTTAGGATCTGTGTAGATTACTGTAAGCTTAATAGCTTAACGCGAAAGGACGCATATCTAATACCCTATATAGATAATCTATTGTCCTAGCTAGCTAAAGCAAAAATCTTTACTAAGCTAGATATTTGTGCTGCCTTTAATAAGATCTAAATAGACCCTAACTTAGAGGAGTACACTACTTTCTGCACTAGGTATAGTACCTATAAATGCAAAGTCCTACTATTTAGGCTATGTAATAGACCTGCAACCTATTAGCAGTATATAAACAATATACTAATAGATTATTTAGATAACTTCTGTATTACCTATCTAGATAATATCCTAATCTACTCTAAAAACCTTGCTACTTATAAGGACTATGTTAAAAAAGTCCTTAAGCGTCTTTATTCTGCTAGATTATAGGCTAATATTAAGAAAAGCGAATTCTATACAACCTAGACCTGTTACCTTAGCTATATCCTAACTAATAAAGGCTTAGAGGTGGACCCTAATAAAGTTAAAGTACTCTAAAACTAGTCCGCTCCTAAGATAATAACTAGAGTAAAGTCCTTCCTAGGATTTACTAGATTCTACTAGTAATTTGTGGAAAACTTCTCTAAGATAGCTAAGCCCTTAACTGCCCTCTAGAGTCCTGCTACCCTATTTGTATAGACTTTAGAATGCTAATAAGCCTTTAACTAGCTTAGGAATGCCCTACTAGCAATCCTAAGCTTAGCTTACTTCTATCCTAAGTACCCTCTAAAACTAGAGACAGACGCCTCTAATAGAGTTATTGCAGCTATCCTCTTACAGGAGCATCCTAATAGGAAATAGTACCCTGTATCCTTCTTTAGTTAGACCCTTACTAGTTCTAAACTTAATTAGGAAATCTATAACAAAGAATTGTTTGCAATAATCTGCGCCTTTAAGAAATAGCGTGCTAATCTAATAAGTACTTAGCACCTTATTAGAGTATACACGGACTATAGAGCACTAGAGTACTTTATATCTACTAAAGTCCTTAGTGCTAGGTAAGCTAGATAGCTAGAGGTTATAAGTCCCTTTAACTTCTAAATTAAGTATACTCCTAGATCTTACAACGCCTAAGCTAATATCCTAAGTAGAAGGGAATAGGATATAATTAACCTAAAGACTACATAAAGGGATAATTACTTATAAGTAATAATCTCCCTAGACAGGTTACACCCCTAAATTAACTCTAATTTAGCGTAAGACTACCTAGCTAAGCGTTCCTTACTAATCCTTGCTCT